AGTATAGCACTGATATAACACAATATTCCTCTGGTTCCTTGAGGCTTCCTCACCCCCCAGCCCTGCCCTGGTGACCCCAACCCTGCCTTTCACTGCGGGCTAGGCCAGAGCATGTACACAGGTACAGATAAGAGCTCAGGACTCACGGAATCCAGGTCAGATAAACCTCTCAGGAACAGAAGTGGGGAGGGGGAAGAAGAGGTCGCTGAGATGGGGGGAAGAAAGCTTAGGGGAAGGAAGACAGCGGTCAGTGTAAGATATGTAAATAATAATACTTTATAACTTATCAAGGGGTCACAAGTGGGGGAGGGAGGGTAAAAAGAGGAGCTGATACCAAGGGCTCAAACAGAAAGCAAATGTTTAGGAAATAATGATTGCAACATATGTACAAATATGCTTGATACATTTGATGCATGGATTGTTATAAGAGCTGTAAGAGCCCCCAATAAAATGATTTAAAAAAAAGAACAAAAGTTTCTTTGATTACTGGTCGAAGAATTCATTTTATCCTTTGTGCAATCTACCTAAAAGGCTAGGTGTGGGGTTCCCCACCCCCACCCCACCCCACCCCCAGGAATTAGAGGAAATAGAGACACAGAAAGAGTGGGGCCAGGGGCTCACCTTTCCGGATATCAGTATCAAGAGAAAGAGAGCCAATGCATTTTTTAGGAAGGGTTAAGTAGTCTTGGGGCCGGCAAACCCTGTCAATCACCTAAGTAGAGAGGTGGGCAGTGGCTTAACCCTTGGATGTCCCTGAGCTCTTTGGGGGTGTAACCCGAGACCAGTATTGGAGGCAGGCATCAGAAAGCGGGTCAAGGGACTTTTGAGCCGGAAAAACAATCGAACTTGTTTGCTCTCAGAGACAGGTAGCCTCAGGCCCCTTAGAGAGCAACCACATGCTTGTAAGAGGCATTGAAGTATCACTATTATGGGGGATATTGTGGGGCTGACCCTCAGTCTGGAGAATGTGACTGGACTTCATCTTTATCTCATATATGTGAGGTCCTTCCTCTACCAGAGCTTGCCTTGATTTTGAGCCCGGAGATTATAACCCTGTGATTATGAGCCCAGAGAATCTGGCTGCACACATTCTCTTCCAGGTCCCCAGCTTCCCACAGCATTAGAATAATACTCTGAATTCAATCTTTATGATTCGACCTTTATGATCTTGGGGGCAGAAAAACAACTAAGGATTTTACCTTTAAGAACTTTGAAAACTTAAACATTGTTTCTCAGTGACATGAAAACGTAAACATTGTTTCTCAGTGACATGATAAATTCCCAACAATTTAGAAACCTTATGAAAAACTATAAAAAGTTTTTCCTGTGTTATAAAGAAAAGGGTGTGACAGAAAAGGCTTTATTTAGTATGTTATAAATTCCATGAGACATGTTAAATCAATCGAAAGACCTGCTTCTCTTTAGGGTCAATATTTTATATGTTAACTATTTCTTCTACTGTTTCTACCTACTATTAAACAACGGTGTACAATATCAGGGAAGGTTTAAAAGCATTACTAACAGGTTTCCGTTGCTGGTTGACCTCGGGGAAAACGAGACATCATCCGCTCCCCCTATTTCTTACACTTTGTGAGTTGGCTGGGTTTTTGCTTTGTTTTTCGGGGCAGATTGTGCCAGGCCAGCAGCCTGCCTAGGTCTTTCGAAGGGCTGGGCTGCCGAGGCTTGGTAGGATCCACTTCCTCCATCCAGCTGGGGAGCTGGAGCCTGGCTGCTGGAGGGACCAGGCAGCGAACCCCACAGGCCTAGGGAGCTCAGGCACCAGGAGACAATGGGAGACAATGGTTGCCAGGGAGTGCTCTTTCTGATACTTCTGTGATGATGAGCTCAGACTAGGTGGATCCACATCAAAGATAAAATACAGCCCCTTTCCTGCACAGAGCTGCTCGGGTGTCGAGTTTTACAATCCCTCTGGCCCTAGATGATGTGTCTATGGGAACGTTTGAGGCAGGAAGGAGATGAGTGTTTTACAAATAGGGTTATTTCTTTGTGGGCCTTCTAAGGAAAATTTCCCCGATACTGGATGAAATGGCTCTTACGACAGATGACTGGGAAGTGTGAATTGCAGCGGATTGTTGATACCTATGTAGGCGCCCAAAGGACCTGCAGGATAGAACATTCCTTAAGGTGCTCGAAGAGTAAGGTCTTACGGGAAGCTACGTGGATCACGCAGAGCGAAATAGACGGGTGTGTAGAAGCGATCATGAAGGAGAAGAACATCAGCGCGGAGAAGGAAGCCCGTTTTAAAAGCTCTCTGAAGGCTTGCTTACTGCAGATATCTGGTTATAAACAGCTTTATGTGGACGTTGAAAAGGAAAGACAAAACCCATATGATTCAGATAACGTGAAACATGAAAAACTGCTCCTCCAACTTTGGAATCTTTTAATGCCCAAGAAAAAGCTGCAGGCTAGAATCTCCAAGCAATGGGCTGACATTGGTTTCCAAGGTGATGACCCCAAAACAGACTTCCGAGGCATGGGCATGCTTGGATTAACCAATCTGGTGTATTTTAGTGAAAATTATCCCACGGCAGCTCGTCAGATTCTGTCCCACTCCAATCACCCAAAGTTAGGGTATTCTTACGCGATAGTGGCAATCAATCTCATGGAAATGGCTTACAGCCTGCTGAAGAGCGACGCTTTGAAGTTTTATCTCTATACCTTTGTTGCGGGTGGACCAACCATGGAACACTTCCATCAGTTTTACTGTTATCTTGTCTATGAGTTTGACAAGTTTTGGTTTGAAGAAAATCCAGAAAGCATAATGTATTTCAACCAGTATAGAGAGAAGTTCCATGAAAAGATTAAAAGACTCTTATTGGACTCTAAGGTAGCACTTACCTTAAACATGTAAACCACCCATAAGACTCCGACCACCGTTTGCATTCTCAATAGGAATTGTATGTCCCAATAAACATTTTCTGACCAGTTATACACCTTATATATAATTGTATGCAAAATGTGTAATTTGCTCATTCACTGTTCTCCAAAGGTGTTCATCCTTCCAAAGATGCCCTCGGTAGTGTCATGTAAACTACAGTTGGGAACTTGGGACTTAGCCAGCCCATTTGTCGAGTATAAATCAGGTATTTGCTTTCTAATCAACAGATTAAAATGTGTGAAAATAATTTTCATTTTTATGAAATGTAGTTAACAAGTTGGCATCTTGTAAGGGCCCTTTTAAGGTGACTGTTCTGGAGTTTGGAAATGGTGCATTTTCTGTACCTTATTTTAATGTCTAAGTTCATTGACAACCAGAGTAGATCTTTTTTTAAAAAGGAGTAGATCTTCATGATTAATCTTTGCATTTGTCACACATATTAGTGTTGCTTCATCATGAGTAGCAGCAAGAGTATAGATATGTCAGAGGATTAAGAATAATGTCCTTTGGAGTTATTCTTGATTATTAATATGAAAAATAATGGGGAATGACAGTAATGGTGCCTAGTCTTTTTATTTAACTCTCATGCTTTAAAATATTAGTGTTATTTTGAAGCTTACAGGCTCATCTGTAAGTTTGTTTTTCATCAGTGATAGCAAAAAGCAAAACAAAAAACAAAAAAAACTTGTTACTGCTTGGTGTAAGGGCCTTTATGAAGTTGCTCCACGTATGCATATCTTTGAAGAGAGATGAATTTGCTAAGAAAATCCAGAGTGTACTCAGAGGGTGGTTTCTATCTCAATAAAGTAGTTCTGGGAGCTTACTTACAGGAAAACTTAAAGCTTCTTTAAAAACCTCAGTTAAACAGTGTTGGTTTATTTGGCTTAATGTGAACTCCTGCTTCTTCCTAGTCAGGGGTCAGGGAACTGCAGATCCTGAGCCATCAGTGACTCTCTCAGTATGCGCACATGGCTCTGAAGGAAACGTGAAATGATAATAAAATGACCATCGTTTCATTTATAAAAATTTTACAGGATATTATTCAGATGATGGTGATTTCATTTGTTTGTAAAAATGTATTTTTGACTCTCCAATAATTCTTAAATTGCTGTGAGAGACATGATAGGCTTTTCCATCTCAAAAGTTTGCCGACCCCTGTTCTAGATGATGTTGTATGGGTTACCTGGGTAAGCTTATCTGTTTCCTAAATTTTTGTTCAATCTATCAGTAATAGGTTCTTTAAATCCATCTCCATTTGTGGATTATAGATATAGTTTTGTTTTTTATTTAAAAATTATAGATAGTTCTATAGTGAATTGATTTAAAAGCCACCAGTAAATTCTAGAATTTGATAATTTGGAAGCCAAGCTAAATGTCACTATTGCAAATTAGAATGTGAAATGAACCATCTGATTTGTGACAATGACATTCATGAAAAGACAACTCTAATAATCATGTCTGCCTTCTCAAAGCCCTCATATATATGTTGGATTTTTATGTAGTTTAAAATTTACATTTAAAATTTTACCCTTTTAATAATAATAAAATGCCAAATTAGTAATAAGACATTATAGTATCAGGAATATTATGTGCTTATTTTGGCATCAAAAAGTGACTCAATGTTAAAATGAATGTTTTCTTGAGTGGTAGGTCTTGAGTGGTAGGTCAGAGAGAGTTTGCGGGCAACAAGAATAGTCTAGAAATGCTGTGATAAGAGTTATAATTCTGATTTGTTCTGAAGGATAATTTTTCAAGAAATTAAAGAAACCAGGGGGGTACACACAATCCACGGTTGGCTTGGCCCTCAGGTAGTGTAGCACACAGGTTGAGGCAGTAGACTAGCTAAAGCAATAGCCTGATGGTCCAATAACCAGAGAGCAAGAGAAACAGGGGCAGGCTTTGCAGGGCCATTTGTCTCATTGCCCTGGAATCAAGCTGCAACGGGATTAAACTCCGCCCACACATTCCTATTGGCCTAGTTGACATGATTAACCGAACTATCCCACCCGTCCTAGTTTCACGGTTTTTATTTCTATTTTAAGAGCTACTTGGATTTGCGAATGCTTTTCTATGTGAAAAGGTATGTATTCTTCCTATTTCTTCTAGTGTTCCTAATCGTTCATGTACTCTTTGAGAGCATTCAGTGAAACAGGACTTGGTGAAAGATTAAAGGAGGAATGTCAACATTTGTGTGAAGAGTGGACTGCTCTTTGCTAGAGCAGAAAAGATTCAGGTGTTATCAGGGCCCAGGACAGAAGAAGTGTGGCTTGGAGGGGAATGCTTACTGTCTTTCTTGAAATTATTGTTGGGGACCAGCAGCTATTTTCTCACGATCAATGTTCCCAATTCTCTGTGAACTAATCCAGTAGGGCTGAATTGCTATGTTCATGTTTCTGAATCTCTCTGGTCAAATAACTTGTAAATGAAGATTATTGGGATTGTTAAAATCTAAGAGAAGTTAGGGTTAGAACTTTTTTCTCCCTACTTCAATTTTTTATGAAAAAATTTTTAAACGTGTGAAAGAACTATGGCATTATCATAAGGTAATTCTATATTTTTATTGAAATATTTAAAAATATTTAAGAAGTAGCTTTCCCAGAGTGGAAAAATATCTTTTGGCAACTTAAAGAAGCTGGTTTTTGTCATTGACTCAGATGGTTGACTTCTTGTGTGAAATGTAATATTTTGTTCAGCATCTTAAGGGAACAATTTTTTTTAAAAGCTGAAAAAAAAGTCTTGCTAACAGAGTTCTTCTATCCCATATATGCACTGGTTTATTCCAAGCAAACTATGCTCAAAGATGTCTCTGTAATCAGTGGATGGCTGCTGTGTTAAGCTGGATTTTCTAAATAAGCAAAAATAGATACATATATATATTATTAAAGTGGTGCAGAGTTATAGAAGAAGGTAAATCCAGACTGCTTCAAGTGTGTGGGTCAGGTGTTAAGCTGGTGGCTTTTCCTAACTCGAATGGTTGCCTGAGCTGATGAGTCAGGAAGCAAGAAGACAAAGGAGGGAGATCACAGCTAGGGGATGCAGAAGCATCCAAGCTTGGCAGGTTTAATGGCAGGCAATATGGTGAGCTGTGGGCTCAAGTCCAAGGAACAAAGGACAATGAACTAGATACAGGATCTAGACTAGCAGGCGAAGGACTCCCCATAACATCTACTTATATATGAAGTAGGACACATAAGGGCTGTGACCTTGGTAAGGGATTGCACTCTGCCCTGAAATTTTCCTACAAGGGCTTGGTTGCTCATGACAGATCCTTTCCTAGAAGTGACTATGTCAGATCATGTCATGGGGATGGCCTCTACTGCTGAATTACTGAGGATCCTGGGCTAGCCAAGCTGACACAAAACCAAACTATCATAGCGGCTGACAAGTTCTCTCAGTAATATATTTTCTTAGTCTCTTAGGGAACATTCACCCCCCCCCCAAATTATTTTCTAGTACAGTGACTCATTGTATTCCCTTCTGTTTCTTTTCATGCTTCCTGCATCATTCAACCTTTTGCCCAGAGAACCCTTCAGTGCTTCAAGTCAAGGTTTGAGCTTTTTTTCTTCCTCAGTTTTTTCAGTTTGAAGAATGCCAGCCATGTTCTTTTCAGTGTGACTGACATTTTAACATTTAAGTCCTATGCAGCCTCCAACCAATGGAGAAGGGTGTTGAGCATGCTCACCCTGTGTTTCACAAATCATAAATTGTTTTCTTTCATAGCAAACCTTTGCTTTTAATTTCATACATATCTCAAGCGTTCTGCTCATTAACAATGACTTGTATTAAGTCTCAGAGCTACTTAGAGTGTGAAATTCTCTATTGCCGTTGCTGAGTAGGATAATAAATAATGATAATGAGGTCTTATAAACGGCGTTTTATGATTTTAGAATTGCTTTCATGTTCCTAATATATCACTTGGTCTCTCAACATCTCTGGAAGATGTACAGAATAGATCTCTTTATCATTTTTTATAAAATGTGGAAGATAAGCTATCCTTACTCAAAACCTAAACTCACTGCCATTGAGTCGATGCCAACTCATAGACTGCCAGGGAGGACAGAGTAGAACTGCCACTGTGAGTTGTTGACACTGTAACTCTTTCTGGGACTAGAAAGTCCCATCTTTCTCCTGAGAAGAGGCTGGTGGTTTCCTTAGTTCAAAGTCAAGGCAAAACCAGAACAAAACAAAATGAACTCATTGCTGTTGAGTTGATGTTAACTCTCAGTGATGCTATGAGACTGAGTAGAGCTGCCTCTTTGGATTTCTGAGACTGTAAACCTGATGGAAGCAGACAGCCTCCTCTTGCTCCCCTGGTGTGACTGGTTGCTTTGAACCTCTGACCTTGAGGTTAGCAGACCAGTCATAGCCTACTATCCACTAAGGTGTCTTACTTTCTAAGTAATAAAACTAGGTTTTTGGCCAAGTCAATGTTAGAATTCACCTGTATGAGTTTAGACAATCTTACACCTTGTGGAAGCTATCTTAAGGCCTCATTCATCTCAGCTACCTGTGTCTCCTGCTCTGTTTGTAGAGTGCATAGAGCACTGAACTGTACAGGGACGTTAAACATATTCGGACTAGGCCTCTCGGCGAATCTCCCAGAGATTAGGCAATTTACCTACACAGTTACACAGTTCTGGTGATGGTACAGCAGTGGTTATATTTTTATTTTTGGTAGATTGTTTATTTTTAAAAGTCACACTTAAAATTCCCGTTTTAATAGTATTTATAAAAAGACAGGGGAGGATCATGCTGAGTTAGGTGTGATTTGGACCCCCGAACTGGGGAGTTTTATTGCAAGACATTTTTCAATGAGAAGATCTAGAAGGGTCACGGCTTTGTGAAATTTGAGGACTTATTAGGGCCTGTGGCTACTTGTTCAGCTCCGGGTATCAGACTGTTGAAGGGGTATCTTCCTTTGTCTCTGGTGGCCCAATTTTTGACCTGTGGACTATTAGCAGATCATATCCTTTGAACTTAACCATTAAGCCTAAAGGTGCTCAAGTTGAAAATTGGGGCACCTGGGCACTGTGGAGGGGAGAAAGCCGGAAGCTTCCATTCCAATTGTTAGCAAGAAAGGAAGCAAGGTTTCATGTAAGCATCAAATGGTACATTTAGATGAAGGGATACCTGTGTTCTAGTCATTAGAAATCTCGATGTGGGGACAGAGGGAAAGTGAAGCGTGTCAACAATGGGCTATCATTTACACAGCCTGGCGAGTAAATTAGGCACAGACTTTTATTGACTTCCGTAAACAAAACGAACTTTACTCCAACACCCTCGTGGTCACTGTAAAGATATAGCCACAAAACACAATACAGCTGGAATCCTCATGCAAGTGCATATTCGAATGTCCCTTTATCAAACTCTTCAACTTCATCTTCCCACGTAGAAGACGGCATGCTGCTATATGGATCTAAGAGGATCTTGAAGCATCGGATAACCAGAAGTCCAAGGAAGATACACAAAATCCCTACAAAAGCAAAGCCAGTCTTTTGCTCCAGAGTCAGCGAGAAAGCAGAGACTTCATTGACACTCATCTTGGTTGAAGAGTTGCCACAGTAGGTGTTACTCATCCTTCGTTGTCACATCATGGTGGTGCTCCAGAATAATTCCTTCTGGAGGGACCACTTCACCTAGAGAGAAAAATTGAGCTCAGTTAAGTTTTATAAATTTAGGGTCTGGGCAAGTATTTTATAAAATCTGGCATTTGTCAACATCCTATTGACTCAAATTACAAAGGGTGTTGGGAAACATTAGATATTAATCCGAATCAAATTATCACCGGAGATGCTAGATGAATTATAAATCTAGATGAATTGTAGTATTGCTTTTGTGAACACCATGCTGTGTCAATAGCTCCTAAAAGTACAGTAAGATCTGCAAGTGAGTATTCAAGCAGCTCTTGCTCCATTGCTAGATGGTGCAGTCACCACATCTTTGACCCGAATTCTCATCGACTTTTCCCATAGTTTTTTGCACCTATATTGCTCATGGCTGTGGAGTTGATTACAACTTAGGGCAACCCCACGTGTGCAGAATAGATTTGTTACACGGGGTTTGCAATACTGACACCTTTCAAAAGCAGGTTGCCAGCCACGTCTGGGTGCATGCAAATCACCAACCTTTCAGCCGCTAGTTAAGGGCTTCACTATTTTCGCCACATTAGCGAAGAGTGGGAACTGCTCGGACCACATCCAGTCCATGGTTTCAAATTGGAATGCCGGTATTTTGTTGGATACCGATTCTGATCCTTTTAAACAGATGGACCAACTTCAGCCATTTCACCTCTTCACTTTTGCAAGAATGTGTTTGTAATTTCTTCTCCACTACTGTTCCTGGCACTCAATTTCAATTCTTTATTAAGAGACATTGTGATTTCAAAATGACGTTACTATGAGCAGTGCCCAGCATAGTAGCTTGCGCAGAACAGAACAAGCATTAGCCATTCGCCTATTAGGAGATCAGAAGAGACTAAATAAAGATAAAACCCAAATTCAACTGCTTGCTTTCTATGCAAATTCTGCTTTCTCCAACCAGATTTCCACTCTTAAGAAATTACTAAATTGAAATTCCAAATCTACAATGGAAGTAAAATGTGTTCTTTCTCTTTTTGCTGTCTTAATAGGCTAATTACCATATGGCGAAATCCAAGGAATGCTAACCCATAGTCGCTTTCTTGAGAGGAGTTTCAACAAATAGCCTGCTATGCCATGCATGAGAATGACAGACTGCTAGTGTATTGTTAGATGTTCTTTCTTTTTTTCTTTTTCGAAAGCCAATTTTTATTCAGACTAACATTGTACAA